CATCCCAGTGCCTCAACACTCTCAATAGTGACTCCACCACCTCCCTGGGCAGCATCCCAGTGCCTGAATATCCTCAATAGTGACTCCACCACCTCCCTGGGCAACATCCCAGTGCCTCAACACCCTCAATAGTGACTCCTCCACCTCCCTGAGCATCATCCCAGTGCCTGAATATCCTCAATAGTGACTCCTCCACCTCCCTGGGCAGCATCCCAGTGCCTCAACACCCTCCCTGTGCCCCATTTCCCCTCCCCTCTAGGATTTCCAGGTGCCATTCCAACCACAACAACTAACTCCACACTTCTTGCCTTCTCCCTTCCCTTTCCCCAGGTGCAATGTTCATGGCTCCAGCTCAGATGGCCTATCCTGCAGCTGCCTATCCCAGTTTCCCAGGAGTGCCCCCATCCAGCAGCATGCTGGGAGGGCTGGTGGCCCCACCAGTGGGGCTGGTGGCCCAGCCTGGAGCCACGGGGGTGGTGCCACCCGTGGGGGTCCCAGCAGGGTACGTGGGCAGTGTGCAGACAGCAGTGCTTGGAATTCCCAACGGGATGCTCCCTGCACAGCAGCCTGGCTACGTGGCTGGCATGGCAGCACTGCCCCAGCCCCTCTACAGTGTCCAACCTGCACAGCAGCTGCACTGGAACATTGCTCAGGTGAGAGGAGCTGCCCCATTTTGGGGGGGGACAGGGCTTGGGGAGGATCTGGGGAGATCAGAGTATCAAGAGGGTAGTTTTGCTAGGAAGGAGCTTAAAGGTCATCTAGGCCCTGCCCTGCCACCTTCCACTAGGTGGGCACCTCTCCCCAGCTCAGGTTGCTCCAAGCCCCAGCCAACCTGGCCTGGAACACTCCCAGGGATGGAGCAGACACAGCTGCTCTGGGAATTCCATCCCAGCCCCTCACCATGCTCACAGGAAGCTTACAGACTTCATCCAGGCTCTCCTGCTCCTGGGCTGGGAGAGACCTGCAGACTTCATCCAGGCTCTCCTGCCTGGCTCCTGGGGTGGGGAGAGCTGGAGGGATTGGGGAGCACCAGGGGAAGGTGTCAGGGGTCTGTGTGTGGTGGAGAACAACGATCAGTGTGGCAGCTCTGACAGACTGTGGGGGCAAAGTTTGTGTTTTGGCCTCTCACAGGTTGAGGAGGCAAATGGCAGAGTTTGTGCTTTGGCCTCTCACAGGTTGTGGAGGCAGAGTTTGTGCTTTGGCCTCTCACAGGTTGTGGAGGCAGAGTTTGTGCTTTGGCCTCTCACAGGTTGTGGAGGCAGAGTTTGTGCTTTGGCCTCTCACAGGTTGTGGAGGCAGAGTTTGTGCTTTGGCCTCTCACAGGTTGTGGAGGCAGAGTTTGTGCTTTGGCCTCTCACAGGTTGTGGAGGCAGAGTTTGTGCTTTGGCCTCTCACAGGTTGTGGAGGCAGAGTTTGTGCTTTGGCCTCTCACAGGTTGTGGAGGCAGAGTTTGTGCTTTGGCCTCTCACAGGTTGTGGAGGCAGAGTTTGTGCTTTGGCCTCTCACAGGTTGTGGAGGCAGAGTTTGTGCTTTGGCCTCTCACAGGTTGTGGAGGCAGAGTTTGTGCTTTGGCCTCTCACAGGTTGTGGAGGCAGAGTTTGTGCTTTGGCCTCTCACAGGTTGTGGAGGCAGAGTTTGTGCTTTGGCCTCTCACAGGTTGTGGAGGCAGAGTTTGTGCTTTGGCCTCTCACAGGTTGTGGAGGCAGAGTTTGTGCTTTGGCCTCTCACAGGTTGTGGAGGCAAAGTTTGTGCTTTGGTCTCTCACAGGTTGTGGAGGCAAAGTTTGTGCCTTGGCCTCTGACAGGTTGTGGAGTCAGGGCTGTACTTGCTGTGGCTGTGCCCATCCCTGACCCGTGTCCTCTCCCTTGCAGATGACCCAGCAGATGGCTGGGATGAACCTCTACGGAGCCAACGGCGTGATGGGCTATGGGCAGCCCATGGGAGGAGGAGCTGCCCAGGGCAGCAATCAGTCCCTCAGCACTCAGCTCTGGAAATGAGCCCCAGCGTTGTGACCATTTTTGCCTTCTGTTCTGTTCTCCAAACTGCTCCATGAGACATTCAGGGTTTTGCTTTCAGGCTGTCCAGCCTGAGCCTTTTCCATCCCTGAGCCCCATCTCTGCCTTGGCACTGTCAGACACGGTGACACCTCAGTGACCAGAACATGAGCTCCCCTGTCCTTAGCACAGTCAATGCACACACTTTGGGGTGGATCCCCCTCCTTGCACAAACCTCCACCAATGCTTCTGGGTAGCACTTGATGTCCTGCTGGGCACCTTGGGCAGAGGTGGCACTGGGAGATGTGCACTTCATTCTGCCTGGAAAGTCAGGCTTTGTCATTTTAAACTCCAGTGTTAGTAGGGTTTTTTTTGGGTTAGCAGAGGGTTGGGAAATTTTGTTTTGGTGCTGAGGAACTGGATTTAGCCCAAGCCCAGGGGCAAGCAAGACTTGCTACCTCCTCCCTCGAGCGGAGTTGGCCGGAGCTGAGGCTCCTTGACCCTCATTGGAACCAAAGTCCTTGGGAAGATCCCTCTCCCTCCCCCCTGAGCAAGCAAGATTCTCACCTGGTGTGGGGACAAGCTGTTGGAATGTGAAACTTGCACTTCAGAGTGGCTTTTTCTGTCTGCTGTTGGATTGGATGTATTTAACTTTTAACACTCTTAACTGAGGCTTAACCTCTGCAGGGCTCAGAGCCCTCTGCAAGTTTTCTTACACTTTTAAAAAAATGACTCTGACATCCTAATTTATACTTTTTACATATGGTTTTTTTTGTTGTTGTTGTCGTTGTTGTTGTTGTTATTGTTCCTGTGTAATTCTGGTACCTCTTCCTGGCTTGGCTTTGGACATTTTAACCTTAGGCAGATTTTTTTTTTTCTCATCTTTAGTAGAACACAAACTGCTTCGAGTCATCAGCGTGAGCCAGAAGTCAGACTGGTGTCTGCTCTCTCCCTGTGGATATGTAAATTCCCAAATAAAACATTGCAGTGAAACCTCCTCTTGACTTCTGTGCTTGGGGTAAGCCAAACTGAGTGGGAATTTCAGGGGTGGCAACACAACCAGTTCAGCTCCATCTCTCTCTGGAGCCAGAGATGTGTCCCCAGGGGCAGAGCTGAGCAGTGAGAACACCCAGAACTGGGCACAATCAGCTCACTTGACACTTTTGTACACAAGAGACTCATAGCTCTGGGGTGGGTGAAGGTGGAGGTCAAATTCTTGCAGCTGCAGGAAGGGAAATTACTCAGCTTGAAACTCTTCTTCAACCAAACCTGAGCGAAGCTCATCCAAAAGGTCCATTTTAAGCTTTTATAAAAAGTGTAAGAATCATGGGATGGTTTGGGTTGGAAAGGAGCTTAAAGGTCATCCAGTTCCACCCAGGGACATCTCCCACCAGCTCAGGTTGCTCCAAGCTCTGTCCAACTTGGTCTGGAACCCCCCAGGGGGGGGGCCAGCCACAGCTGCTCTGGGAAATCCATTCCAGTGCCTCAGCACCTCCCAGGGAGGAATTTCCTCCCCATATTCCATCTCTCCCTGCCCTTTTCCAGTGGGAAGCCATTCCCTGTGTCCTGTCTCTCCATTCCTTGTCCCAAGTCCTTCTCCAGCTTTCCTGGAGCCCCTTTAGGTACTGGAAGGGGGTCTAAGGTCTCTCTGGAGTTTCTCTTCCCCAGACTGGACACCCCAGCTGGACACCTCCAACCCCTGGAGCATCTCCATGACCTTCTCTGGACTCATTCCAGCAGCTCCATGGATTCAATGACCTGAACTTCCATTTCTTCCATGGTAGAACTCAACATCTCATCTAAACCATTTCCCTTGTCCTGTCACTCCTTATCCCTGTCTGAAGTTCCTCTCCAGCCCTTGTGGCTATGGAAGGTTGGGGAAGATCTGGGAATCTCCTGAAGGAAGGTTTGGGGGTGTCTGTGCAGCTGCAGGGAGAGCTCAACTCCTTGGGAGATCTCATCATCCTCTGCATAGTAATTATGATGTTTCTTTCCTCAAGTCAAAACCTGCTTTTTTTTTTTTTTCCAGGGGGAAAAAAAAAGAGGATTTCCCCCCCCCTTTCCCTTCCTTCCCAGAGCATCAGTTGGGAAGTGAGGCCTGATTTTATTTTTTTTTTCAGCTGGATGTTTTACCAAGCTCAATTCAAGTCAAAACCTGCGGTTTCAAGCACAGAGCAAAGGTTTCAAGCTGGCTTTAATCATCTTCACTTGCTGCCCCAATACTGTACATGCAGGTACAAGCCAATGAAAATGTGAATAATTCAGGTTTTCCTCCTTTTTTTGGGGAGAGGAAAACTGGCTAAGGAATATCTTACAAAAAACAGCGTGCACCCTCAGAGCCATCAGTCCTGCTGCATATAGAAACCACAAAAAGTACAAGAGTTGGACATTAAGAAAGACCAATACACACATAGAAAACAGTACAGAACACAGGTAGAAAATTGCCATTTGCTTGGTGGAAATCTAATCCCACTCTCAAGTATCCAGCCCAGCCCATTCCCTTGTCTTGGACATGGAACTGGAATTCCAAGGCCCTTCCAGTTCCTCCCTCTGTGGTGAGTTTTCAAGGTGGAGTTGGGGAAAGGGAAGGAATCTGTCATCAACCCAAGTTTATCACCCCCAGGAGGTGAAGGTGTTGGCACATCTGACTCCCACAGGGATCCAGGAGAGGGTGGAAATCCTCACCTGCCTCTCCTTCCCCTCCCCAAGTGATGGATGAACTGAAGTGTGATGGGTTGAAGCTGCTTCCTGCTCATTGAGGAGCAATTAACTCCTGCCTAATTGGCTTCTAGCACCTTCCCAGCCCTCTGGGATTAGGGAATGCTTTTCAATCCAATTTTGGGGCTGGAAAGTGATGGATTTGGGTGTCTTTGTGTGGTTCTCTCACTTTGGGCTGCTGCAGCCCTGTACCCCCTCAGCAGCTCCTTTCAGCTCCCAGGGAAGAGTTGGGATCAGGAATGTCTGGGGCATCTTTTTTCCCCCTCTGTTGGGAATTTATAGCCATTTCTATTAGTGCTTATTTCAATTTCTGTTAGTTCAGAACCTTTGGATAGGCTGAATATTTCCTTCTGTACATAGGATATTTCCAATCCTTACTTTGGCTGCTCTTAAAATTCCTTTTCTTCATGTGCTTAGGTGGGTTTGGGGTTGGGTTTGATTTTCTGGTGCTGTTCCTAACCAAATCCAAGGCTAAACTTTCAACTTGGAGTTGCTGTTAGTAACCAAATCCAAGGTTAAACTTCACCAAATCCAGGGCTAAACTTCCCCCTTGGAGTTGCTCTTACTTAATCAAATCCAAGACTAAACTTTCAACTTGGAGCTGCTGTTACTAACTGAATCCAAGGCCAAACTTCCAGCTTGGTGTTCCTAACCAAATCCAAGGCTAAACTTCCCCCTTGGAGCTGCTGTTCCTAACCAAACCCAAGACTGAGCTTCACCCTTGGAATTGCTCTTACTTAACCAAACCCAAGGCTAAACTTCACCCTTGGAGCTGTTGTTTCTTAACCAGATCCAAAGCTAAACTTCCAACTTGGAGTTGCTCTTACTTCACCAAATCCAGGGCTAAACTTCCCCCTTGCAGCTGCTATTCCTAACCAAACCCAAGACTGAACTTCACCCTTGGAATTGCTCTTACTTTACCAAACCCAAGGCTAAATTTCCCCCTTGGAGCTGTTCCTAAGTGACACCTACATGTTTTTCCCCTTGGAGGGATAAACTTTGGAGATTAATGACAGATTCTGGTGTCCTGGCTAAGCTCTGAGAGCCTCCAGGTGCTTGTTGCCTGGGAGGTGGGAGCAGGACAACATGCTGGGGAGGATGATTTCATTTCACTACGTGGTAAGATCAAGCCCTTTAAGAAAACAAGGCCACCAACTTCAAAGTGCTCTAACATTCACGAGGCACCTGCTGCCAGGAGCCCTGGCCAGGTGAGGATGAGGAGGG